AGGTCCCCGTGACCCTAATGCTCGCTGGCGCGGTGTGGATTGGTACGGCCCCATTACGTTGGCCAACTAGGACCCTTGCAGACCAAGCTACGGGACCGATGCTCACCTATGGGCCGACGCGAGATGATGGGCGGTGGTTGCACGAACGGAGGTGAAGCAGAGCGGCTCTCCCCGACGGTGGGCGACCTGCAGCGGTGGCAACCGCATTCCGGTGAGCCACAATGTGCAACCGATAATAGAAGTGACGGGTAAGCATCAGTGACGCACCATGATCCTACCCGTGGTGGTGGCCTGGCCGGAGACACCCCGAGCTAGTTTGGATAGGTGCGCGCGGCGAGCTCGATGGCGAACCGCAGTGACATGGCCGTGTCAGCGGCGTGGAGGTGGCTATATGGCTATGACTTGGGTGCGCACGACGAAGAGGGGTTCTAGGCGGGGCTAGTGGTGCAATCAATTCGCGAGATGATGAGGTTGGAGCTAGCCACGGTGAGGCGGGTTGGGCCTTAATGGCACGGTGGCAGGAGCAAAGCTCCAAAATTGGAGCTCGGCCTAGCCGTAATCAAGGCGGGGTGGGGGCGGTTGATGAGAGGCTGTGAGGATGGAGCTGCGGGTGCATGGAATTGATGGGAGATGACCCCTCATAGGCAGGTGCATTGGCGCGGCTCGGCGGTAGAGAGAAGGAAAGAGAGAGAGATGGGGTGCGGCCGGTGACTCGATGAGGCGAGCCATGGCGGGACGCGGTTGATGCGACCAGTGCGGCCCGTAGCCAAATGCTAACTGATAGGCGCACATGCTCGCGACCTGTGTGGTCCGCGCATCGTAGTGCCATAAATGGCATGGCGGCATCAAAGTGGGCCAACGACGCAGCGCGATGCAGCGGCAGGCGACGCTGTGCGATGCAGCGGGCAGGCGCGAGCGCGATGTGATACGACAATAGCAACAGTGGCTGCTTCGCGGCGCGAGGTGGGTCGATGGCGCGGCAGCGCACGTGGTAGGGGCAGCGCCGCTCAGCCGAGCAAGCCACAGCAACGATGGCTCCTTACGATTGGGTCAGGGCGACTAGGCCGGCCAAGCGCGGCAGCGCGCGTGCGCACATAGAGCGCGCCAACACCGTGACCCCCATGGCCTAGTGATCGCGCCCAGCCTGGAGGGCTAGCCCAAGAACGTGCTGTGCATGGATTTTAAAGCAGCGACTACCACTGAACCATTGCCTCTAAACCAAAACTGACTTCACCATGATCAAACTGATACATGAGGCTGCTCAGCCGAGCTAAAACACCGCATCACCCTCTAAGCCAATCTCTCTAAATAAATTGCTAAACTTAGCAATGTCCAGCTGTACACAAGCTTGAAATTTTTTAAGTTTTTTTTGAGTTGAACTCCATTTCAAATTGTATTTCTAAGCTATTGAAAATATTACTAAATAATATTATTTTTCAACAGCAAGTATTTTATTGTCATCTACAAAGTTTGTACTTCCAACTTTATTTAAGTATCACACACATATTCTATAGTATTTTTGCTTAATAAAAATTGATTTTAAACCCTACTTGATATACATGAGCTATTGCATCAACATTGATTTAACATTTTAATTGATTATTTTAGGCTACAAGAAATTTATCAACACCTTCTATCACATGTATTATTACACAAACACGATGCTCGTGACATGATTTAATAGTTGGTTTAGGGCGTAACACCAAGGGTGTTACACCACATTCTCCCCGACCAGCCAGAATTGGTCCTGAAAGTTTCCCTGCAAATCTCTCATCTCATCTTTCAAACAGGGGAAAAAAGAGCACAGATCTCTTACTTAAAATGAGCATAAGAACTGCACATACGCGAGTAGCTGTAGCATTCTGCAAGCCAGTGATCCAAGGCCTCCTCCTCATGCTTCCCAGTGGTGACCACGGAAGAGAAGACAACGAGCTCGAGGCGCCGAGACGGCGCGAGCTTGGGCGGAGATGGAGGACGAGCTCGGGGCCGTCAGGGAGGGCGGGGGAGGCCCAAGAGCCGCTAGAAATGGCCGGATGAGGCGCGGGGGAGAGCAAATCGGCTGTGGCGGTGCTCATTTGGGCGCGTAGAGGAGGCTGTGGTGGTGCTCCTTCGGGCCACCGGACTCGAGCATGGGTCGTGCCAGGCAGTAGAGGATGGAAGCACGGGAAGGGAGGGGGCGGTGTCACGATGGTGTGGGAGCTTGAATCAGAGTCAACGTTGTTGGGGTAGAGCGCATGTGGTGGCGGCTACGAGTTGGGGAAAGGTTAGGGTTATGGTGTTGGCTAATATATTTATATATGCACCTGATCGGCCCGGGCCAGCACAGCGGGCTGAGGGGGCGGCCTAGTCATCGGGCCATGGCATGCCTAGGCCAGGCCAAAAGCTGGGGCCATGGGCCATGCTGTCAGGCCTCGTGCCTTCTGGCCAACTAATTTCGGCTTCGACAGTCGCACATCCCAAAATCAAACCACCGAATGTTTTGTTTTTAGCCCTTTTTTGAAAGATTTTCACAAATACGCCCCTAGCAGTATTCTTTCAAAAAATAGACCCTGACCTTGGCGTCATGACAATTGGCGCCGAGGTCCGGGGTCATTTTCTACATGTTGTTGACGTGGCTGCCTACGTGACGCGGACGTGGCATGAGCTCGACGCTAATTACTATGACGCCGAGCTTGGCACTAATTGCTACGACGCCGAGCTATGGAAATTGACAAATTTTAATTTTTACCATGACTTGGATATTGAGAAATGTGGTTAACTCTAGAGTTTTTACAGTGACTTGCTATTTGATCACTTAAAACAATCTAAAAATACTTAAGATAAAAAATTTGCCTGAACAAATGGAACTACAGCACATCCGGGCGACACACTACAGAGCTCGGCTCCTACAGCACGGCAGGGCGATACAGGGCTCGGCTCTATGCGTCTATTGCATTGCTAACCGGAGATGCATCGGTGCATGCAACGAACCGTACGTGCATGTGTAGGCATGCAAGCACGGGCGGAACACACCTCGCTTGTAAGCACGTCATGACCTATGAGCACGTGGAAATATGGCTAAGTCTAGAATTTTTTACCGTGGCTAAGTCTGATTTTTTACCGTGGCTAAGTCCAAATTTGACGAGATTTGTTTTGTTGTCATCTTCTCAGAGAGTATTCAAATTTGTAGTACATCAAATTGAGTCGTTATACAAATTTGGAAGATAAAATGTCACAAACATGTCAATTCACTACCGGCGATAAGGGAATTAGAAAGATTTAGAGGGGCCAAACCAGCATTGTATTCAAACTTGTGGTCTCCATTCGGCCATGTTAAAGACTGATTTAGGTTTAGGTCCAAAAGCAAAATTTGTTGTACTCAACTCAAACTACAACTTCTATTAAAGGTCAAACTTCATATCTAGAAAAGAAACTATAGTTTTACCCTAGTCAAAACAGCGTCATGAAAAAAGAGTTGACTATTGATCCAACACTTAGAAGTATTTTTAGGCTAATTCATGAACATAAACTGTCAGTGCGAAAAATGACCAACAAGTAAATATTTATAGTTTTGTCGTGCGTTGTGATCGGATGTGGCTTAACACTCAATGACACATGATTTATACTGGTTCAGGCAACGTACCCTACGTCCAGTTTCGGTCGATCGGTGACTTTATTCCTAAGCCTAGGTGCTTAAAATTTGCTGTGGGGTTATAAACATGTATGGAATGAGAAGGGGGTGTTAGAGGTCCGATCGGACTCTAAACCAAGTGGTTAACAGTGATAGGTGCTCTAACGTGCGCTAAGTATTGGAGCATATGCTCTGTGTAGCTGTTGAGATCTAGAGTTGTGGAGCTATCCGAATGCTCAGGTTCTCTAGAGCTAGATCTAGAAAGAGAATCCAGCATTCATCCCTGTTGGGAGAGAGCGCATCCCCTTTTATAGGTGAAGGGGATGGCCTTACAAGTTAGAAAGAAAGAGAGAGAGTGTGTACGTGTGCTACCTAGTCTTGTTGCTCACGCCATTGGGTACGAGACGATTGTCGACGTCCACAATACTGTTCATGCCCGAACGTGTCTGGCAGGTTTTACCGTGTTCGCCTGGTATGGTAAATGTCGGCGCCTGCAATACTGTAAGGCAAATATCGACGCGCACAACACTGTTTGGGTTCTGACACGCCTGGAAGGTTGCATAATAGCCGTCTAGCATGGCCTGGTGGCACTGCCCTGCAGGTGTGCAGGGTATGGCAGGGTATCGTCCCCGGTATTGCGGTTGACTTGAGCGCCTTACCTTATCTGCTCCGCCTGATCCTTGGGTCCTCGTCGAGTGGGCGTCCCGGTCGGTCGTTCCCGGTCGGCTCGACCGTGTTGGTCGGGGAAGAATCACGAGCGGAGGTCCGATGTATTCCTGGTCGGAAAAAGAGGTCGGAGTCGGACTATATCTCCTCCTTGGCCAAGCCTCCTGGTTGGAGATCGGATCTTTCTCCTGAGACAGTCGTTAGGTAACTGGGCCGGCCCGGGAGGCGCGTGTTGTCGCTACGCCGTCTGCTGGGCCGAGTTTTCACTAGGAAGCGGGCCCATTGGGGATCCCGGGTTTATGAACCCGATATAAACCCTATATCATTTTTTATCTTAAATATTTTTAGACGGTTTTAAGTGATCATACAATAAGTCACTGTAAAAAATCTAGAGTTAACCACATTTCTCAATATTCAAGTCATGGTAAAAATTAAAATTTGTCAATTTTCATAGCTCGGCGTCAATATCCACGACGCCAAGCTTATACCACGTCTGCTCCACGCAAGCAGCCACACCAACAACACGTAGAAAATGACCCCGGGACCTCGGCGTCAAAGCAGCTCGGCGCCAATTGTCACGATGCCGATGTCAACTATGTTTTGAAAGGATACCGTCGGGGCGTATTTATGAAAATCTTTAAAAAAAGGCTGAAAAAAAATCGGATCAAACCACCGCTACCACCAAGCTCCACCTCGGCACCTCCGCCGACCGGCTTCGCTCGCCATGGCCGCCACCGCCTCCTCCCTCTCCCACCTCCTCGTCGCGCCCAAGGCCAGACCCAAAACTCAACCAAACCCCTCGCATCTCCACTCCCACCGCATCAGTAACCCGCTCCCCTGCCGTGGGCGGTGCTCCTCCCTCGGGGTCTCCGCCGCGGCATCCGACCTCCTCTCTCCCGCGCCCTCCCTCAAGTCCCGCCTCGCCGCCGGGGATACCCTCTATGGTCTGTTCCTCCTCTCCTTCTCCCCGACCCTCGCCGAGCTCGCCGCCCTCGCCGGCTACGACTATGTCGTCGTTGACATGGAGCACGGGCCGGGCGGGATCCCCGAGGCGCTCGCCTGCCTCCGCGCGCTCGACGCCGCGCGCACCCCCGCCGTGCTCCGCCTCCCGGAGGCCAGCGCCGTCTGGGCCAAGAAGGCGCTGGACCTCGGCCCCGCGGGCCTCATGCTCCCCGCCATCGAGTCCCCCGCGGCCGCCGCCGAGGCGGTCTCCCACTGCCGCTACCCGCCGCGCGGGGTCCGCGGCGCCGCGCACCCCATCGTCCGCGCCTCCGCCTACGGCTTCGACGACTCCTACATCTCCCGCTGCGAGGACGATACGCTCGTTATCTGCCAGGTCGAGACCGCCACCGGGATCGCGGAGATCGACGCCATCGCCGCCGTGGACGGCGTGGACGTTGTGCAGATGGGCCCGCTCGACCTGTCGGCTAGCATGGGATACCTGTGGGACCCCGGGAACAGGAAGGTCCGGGCAGCGCTGAGGGAGGCCGAGAGGAAGGTGCTGGAGGCCAAGAAGAAGAAGGTGGCAGCGGCGTCGGATGGCAATGCTGCTTACTTGGGCGGGTTTGCGATGCAGAATGATCCTCCGGAGCAGCTCAAATTGAGGGGTTACCATATGGTGGCTGGCGCAGTGGATATTGCAATGTTCCGGAAGGCGGCATTGAATGATGTCAAGCGGTTCCAGGAGGCAGTGATGGAGATCGGCGAGGAGTGTGATGAGGAGGAGGGGAAGGATGAGAAGGAAAATGACGGGTACTGGAGTGAGTGAGTGAGCAGTGTAGAACAAAACTGAGCTGAAGTATGGAGGGAACTGGCTATGGGTTTTTTTTCCGGTGATATGTTTTTGTTCTGAATTCAGAGGGTCTTAGCGATCCCCATTTGTAGGATGAAACTCGAACTGGTGGCTACCAATAAAGTGCTGCTTTTTTTCTTCCCACAGTTCTTTTTAACGTCTGGAGAAGTCTGGACCGTTTCGGCCAAACGTTTGAAATTATATATCATGGGATGAGAAACACATAGGTAATTTTCCAGGTTGTTGGTGTGGTGGGGTCAGGGCAAGCTACACGCCCAGAATCCATATTGTCCATCTCAGCGCTTGCTCAACCTCCACCACAGGTTCAGATATGCAGCTACGTCCAATCCAAAACCAGTGCTTTGGACATTTCTGCTTCTAAAAAGATCTCCTTCCAGTAACAGTATGCAGCCTTAGGAGAAGCTAAGCTGTCTTCTAATTCTCTCGAGTCCATAGTTTTTGCTCTTCCTCTCTCATGATCACAATGCTTTCAGCTAGTTCTGTAATGAACAGCAACCTTGCTTGCTCATCAAGGATATCATCCGGTTCAGACTTCATATCTGGCCATTCCTGGCGTCCCATAGAGGCTATGAAACTCCATCGGATGCGTGCTGTGAGCTCGATACGTATAAGTTGTGCTGCTACTAAACCTGCAAAGACTCCTGGTACTTTGATTATGCTCTCCAATTGTTTTGGTTGCTATGCAACTGTTAGTTTATTCTGATATCGTTGTTTGTTTTTCCTTACAGCTGAAGAAGAATGGAAAGTTAAGCGGCAACTGCTAGCGGAAAAGCGGGTAATTTGCATCACCCTACCATGCGTTTCCTTTGTAAATATCTTTGGAAGTTTGTTATGAAATACTTAATCTTTAGTTCTACGATGAGATGGGTTTGAACTACATGTGTGCAGGTTGAAAAAAATATTCTATGTGATATAGGCCTTCTTTGTAATTTAGAGGAACATATCTACCTTAGTTCTATTAATTCACTGTTGGCTTATGGTGAGCCTACCATGCTTAGCATATTTCATTTATAACAGAGGCTTTGCTGCTGTTTGTTTTGCAGGTACGCAGTGTTGATGTGAAGGAAGCACTGCGCCTTCAAAAGGAAAACAACTTTGTAATTCTTGATGTCAGGCCAGAAGCAGAGTTTAAAGAGGTCTATATTTTTATGCTGTTTATAGTTACTCTATATTTTTATGCCACAGTTTTAGGTCTCAGGTTTAGGGTAATAACATATCAACATGTATTTTGCCATTTCTTAGGTAAAAGTACCACCGTTAGGAATTTTTTGCAATAGAGATCACATGCTGGACAGTTCTAAACTTGTAATTGAATATATTTTCTGCGAACTTAACACTTCTTTTTTTGATGGAGGAAAACCCTGCTTTTATAGAAAGCAACCAGTCTTTACAGCAAAAGAAAAGAAAAGAAAGAGACCAAAGGAACCGCTGGAAACACCAGCAACCAGGTTTGAACCAAAGACCGCCCAAACTGGAACATCACAGCCCTTACAGGAGCAAAAGGCTTGCACAGGAAGAAACTAAAACACTAACTAGACCTCACTCCAGAGAACTCCAAAACACCTCAAAGAATTCCTTCAATCTCCATGTCAGCCGTGCGCTTCCAGAAAACCATCAACCAGGACTTCATTCTTCCAAGCCTGTCATCCAAGAACCTAGCATCGCCGTCCTTCAAAAGGATACGCCATTTCTGAGTAAAAGAGAAGATTTTATAGAAAACCTCATTAGAAGACCTTGAAACTTTTTCTCTATCCCCATTTTATTTCTAACATTCCACAAACCCCAAAGGACTATCACGAAGATAAACAACTTGATACGGTAATCTCTCCCCCCAATAGGAATCCAATAATAAAAAACATCTTGCATGCTCTGTGGAGTTCTATCCCAACCTAGTGCTTCTTTAAAAGAGAACCAGATAGTTCGAGCAATGTTGCATGGAAAAAAGATATGACCATTTGTTTCAACTACCCCACATAAGCAACAACTTGACACTTCTTGCTGTATACTATCTGTTGTTTGCTTCATGTCATGGGTTTCATTACCCTACTACAAGATTTATTTTTCTGTGGCAGTTGTATAACTTTTATGGATTTTTATCCATATGTAGGCTCATCCGCCTGGTGCCATCAATGTACAAATATACAGATTAATCAAGGAATGGACAGCTTGGGATATTGCAAGGCGTGCGGCATTTGCGTTTTTTGGCATATTTGCTGGAACAGAAGAGAATCCTGAGTTCATACAGAGTATGGTAGCAAACATTGTTGCTGCTGTTTGATTACTCATCAATGATACAGTAACCAGAAAAGCACACGTTACCTTTGTGCAGGTGTTGATGCGAAGGTTGGGAAAAATGCGAAGATAATTGTGGCATGTTCTACAGGAGGGGCACTGAAGCCAACGCAAAATTTCCCTGATGGGAAGCAATCTCGGTATGTTTATGTTCTGTAATTCACACTGCAAGCTTGACAATAGCATGCGTAGTTGATCATTCTCAGTATCTGTATACCCTTTCAATAAAAATGATGGTTCTCCGAGAGACAGGTGCACATATGTTTGGCAGTGGGGGAAAGGCTTCCTCCATGGTATTTCTTGGAAGAAGAAACCTTAGCTTTCAACCGATCAGAAAACCTCCAGAACCCTGATAGTGCAGGCCCTATAGCATGGCACTGTAACCAAGGCTGGCAGCCACCACCCCTGATAGGACCGCACCGTTCACACAGGCCAACCACCACCGTAACCATAAGCCAGTACCCTATGTGCAGCCATAACCAATCGAGTTACTTAGACAATGAAATTAAGAAACTATTGGAGAATGCTCTTGATGGATGGATTTTTTTTCGAACAATGCAAGAGATTTGCGTATCATTTCATTAAGAAGGGAAAAAACAAAAAATGCACAAGGAAATGGGAGAGCTAAAGAAAGCCCATCCCAAACACACCTTACACACTTGACTACAAACAGACGTGTCAAGCTAAGGTACACAACACGACCACAACCTGTCCACCTTCTACCATCCTCAAGGGTTAGGCTAGCGACATAATGAGGTGCTCATGAAGGGTAGAGGCGCCAGGCCTCCAGCAAAACACCACAAGCTGCTTTCATTAGCCACTGTGAAGAGAGCCTGAATGTTTGGCCTGGCCCTTCAAGACAAGGGCATTCCTATGTTCTAAATCTCCCAGGCAACAAGGGCAAGTCTGGTGCCAACAACCACGGTAATTCCAGCTCCAATAGCGTATATTTAAGTTGTTGCGGTTACCTTGGGCGAGGTTGTCCGGTCCAACTTATGGCGAGAACCAACCTACTTGGCCCTTCTGCCCATGATGTGCTCCTGGCCTTAATTGGCTGGATCATGCCTCCAGCGCCGTTACTTTGAAGAAATTAGAGTTCTCAAAGCAAACCATCACGTTGCATACATTAGCATGGGATAACATCGTAGGATTCTGGTCCTATTGTGTTGAACTTCGGGATTGGAAATGATTAATAGGGACACGATTAGAGAGTTAAGGCTTTTGTGCATCTGCTTAGAGCCAGCATAAAAAAAAAATCAATCTCCGGGGGAAAGACTGCCTCCGCGGCATTGTCGTGCGCAGGCCGAGAAACACCCCGAAAGCCGGCTACCCTGGGCGTGCCATTGAGCGCCTAAGACACATGCCTACCGCCACGAGCATCTCGCTAAAAGCGATTCGGGTGGTTACACGTATAGTAAAGAAAACAGCCAATAAGTGGTGTTCTTTTAACCCAGGTCTGTTTGAATTTGCTCCCATGGGGAGTCGAACCCATGATCTGAAGAGTGCTACTTAAAGCTCTTGTGACCACTAGGCTGTAGACCTGTTCGCATGTACAAAATTTACAAGCTCCACCATGTTGCATATGAGATGCATAGTTGAATGGGCAAGTGTCATAGGGTGTAGGCCACATTTGTCTCTTTTCCTAACTATGTTATTGCCTCTGTTTATATAATATAAGCTGTTTATAAATAAAACATTTAGGACAAGTTTATTAGTTATTACACCCTTTAAAATTTGTAGGCGTAAAACTCTAAAAATTTGTAGGTGTATTCCATTTCATTGGGATAAGATTTGGGACAACAATTACTCTATTAATATGTCATTTGTGTGATACAATTTCGTAATCATAAGTAATTATTTTTCAATACCAATCTATTGACATCAAATTTGTATTGCAAAAATCATGTATTAATGAAGAAATTGTAGGCCAAAGTATTGTCCTAACAAAATGAAACATGCCTACTAATTTCAAATGCAGGGAGTACCGGAGTTGTTCAGCTTTTTTAACTAATTAGCTTGTACTAAACGTCGTATATCTAAAAATGAAGAGAGTAGTTTATTACATGGTGCTTTCTGCTGCTGGGCTTATAGCATTAGAATTTTCAGTGACTGCAAAGGTAAACCACGTTTCTTCACCTGTTTGGATTTAGCAGATTAGTATCCACATTCTTTAGTATTTTCTTAAACTTGAACTAAATCACAAAAAATTCTAGAAGGATGTTGGATAACTTAATCCTTGAGGAAAGAAAAGCAGCATGCACAACTTATTCGAGAATAGTGATTCGGAAGCTGTTGAATTTACTTTCAAGCAAGACCTAGTATGTCTACAACCATGTTACACACATTTATTTTACCACCCGTCTTTTTTCTTCAGAAAGTGATTTGTTCGAAATATTATGCTATTTTCTCGAGAGCAAATATCAGCGTTGGAGCTTATCCTCTGTTCCGGTTGATTTTGGCAGGTCCCTGATAGCTGCATACCTGTTGGTCCTGAATGGCTACAGCAATGTGTACCATCTGGAAGGTGGGCTTTACGCATGGTTCAAAGAAGGGCTACCAGCTGTTGAAGGAGAAGAATGAGAAGAGAGACTTGTTACGACGTAGTGTTCACATGCTGTAGACTGGAGTTGCGAGGAGATTTCTCCTGCCAATGTGATGATGTCTCGTGTTCCTCCTGCCAATTTGACGATGTCCTAGATTTCTCGTGGCGCCTTTGTTGCCCGAACTGTCAGTGTTTGATACTTGAGTATGACAATTGGATGACTAATGGCTTTGACCAATAAAGTGAGCAGAAGCATAGTTTCGTTTGGATCTCGAGCTTAAACTATTTCCTTCTAGTGATAGAGCTGCTGCCCCTTTTATTCTACTTTAATGGAGAGGCAGAGCTCCTGCAATTCATTAAAAAAAAGGTGATAGAGCTGCTGAAAGAGATTTTCTTTGGGTTTTGTTTGTCCCTCCAATGATGTTTTGCTAGTTTGTTGAAATCTTCTTTCAAGATCAAGGTGACCTGCTAATAAGATCTGGTCCATTGTTCTAACAATTTATGTTTCTGATGCCATGTGTGTGGTACGGAGAACATGGATCATGGTGTTCCTTGGATTTGTTCAGAGGGTCGGAAGGGCAAACATCCTTGTGAAAAACGAGTTTGATGACACAAATCCGCCTATTCTTTGCAGCAAAAATGGGGAAAAATGATGAATGACAGATGGATCAGATACACGTACAAAGCTTACATGGTAACATGCCTAATAAACCATGAAGAGTGTAATAATCTGCATTTTGTAAATGTGACGAAGTTCTTAGAAAAGGTATATTTTTAAATAACTCCTACATGTGCACTGAAGACGCCACGCCATGCACATCATGAGCAAGAGCACTGCGAGCTCCTCCTCATGGCGCTGGTCTCCATGATGGAGCCCACGTCCACCGCGGTCCCCTTGAGCGACAGCACCTCGCCGCCGCCATCGCCATCGCCCTGCTGGTCGCCGCGCATCCGGCGTGCCTCGTCGAGCTCCAGCGCCCTGCGCGACACGACGGCGAAGACCTCCTCGAGGAGCGTGAGGAAGGCGCGCTCCACGTTGTCGCCCGTGAGCGCGGACGCCTCCGAGAAGAAGAGGCCCTGCTCCTCGGCGAGGCGCGCGGCCTCGTCGGCGGCCACCTCGCGCCGCGCCGCGGGCATGTCGGCCTTGTTCCCGATGAGCGCCACGACGGTGGAGGAGCCGTCGGCGTGCGCGCGGAGCTCCTCCACCCACCGCGCCACGTGCTCGAACGTGGCGCGCCGGGTCACGTCGTACACCACCATGGCGCCCAGCGCGCCGCGGTAGTACGCGCTCGTCACCGCCCTGTACCTGCGCTTTGCGTGCGTGCGACGCCGCACGCGCCAGAAAATGGCAAATCAAAACCAAAGCAATGTTTGATGTTTCTCTCGCACCATTTACGTATTAACTAACATTTGGGTTTGGGAGCCGAATTCAGGAGAACCAACCAAAATGTTACTATGATTCGGAAGAGCAATTTCACTACTGCTTCGTGCAAGGTTCTGAACCTGCTTGAATTTGACAGAAACAGCGAGGTTCCAACTGCCTAATCCAGATGCAAGATATGACACAAGATTGTTTTGAAATAAAAGACGTAGTCTGCCAAGTCTTCTCCTGCACGTTAAGAAATGCCGAAAATAATGGTGGCTCTGTCCATTGATGAAGAGGTCTTTTTCAGCGTGATCGGCATGCTTAGGGACTTAATTAGTTGTCCCTAGCGTAACATCGACTCGGCATATTCTAACATGTATATCTTCCAGTCGCTTTAAATTTTGCATTGGTAAACTTTCTGCCCACCATTGTGCGTGCTTATCTACTCAAAATGTTCTCTTTTTATTCAAAAGTGAACATTTTGAGTAGAGACCACACACCATCGACCTGCTCCATTCCTATGTTGCTAAACTTAAATGGCCGTTTTTTTTTTTTAAAAAAAAACGATGGAGGCGTGGCGGGGAGGAATCTCTACTCTGACATCATCGATCACCACCTTTGGAAGCAACTTAATTATCATCACGTACCGAATCCCCTCTCAAAAATAAACGGCTACTATGACGTGAAGTTAGGCAGTATACACTTGTCATACACCCAGCCAAATCGAGTGAGAAAAAAAAGTTAAAGCGTTTTTGTTTGTTTGTTTTAGTTTCGAAGGAACCAAAAGCCAAAGCTTCAAATGCACGTGTAGTGTAGCTGATAAGCCATGGCTCAAAGTACCGCTAATTGATTCGTTGTGAGAGAAAAATATATTTGTTGACTGAAAAAGTATGGCTTATAAGCCAAGCAAACATGAAGTAGAATAGAATCCAAACGACGCACGGCTACAACACAAATGCCTACTGATGAAGAGAGAGCCCTCGCGGAGGAATTGGAAGGTCACATAATGGTCTGATCGCGAATTGTGCGCGGCGAATTGTGCGGCGTATGCAGCACAAGAACACAGGCATGCGCGCGGCACGACGACCGGCGGCGCGCGAACGCACGAACGTACGGTACGTACCTCTCCTGTCCGGCGGTGTCCCAGATCTGCGCCTTGACGCGCTTGCGGTGGAGCGTGAGCGTGCGCGTCTGGAACTCGACGCCGATGGTGGACTTGGAGTCGAGCGCGAACTCGTCCCGGGTGAAGCGCGCCAGCAGCTGCGTCTTGCCCACCGCCGAGTCGCCCACCACCACCACCTTGAACACGTAGTCGATCTCCGCCTCCTTCTCGCTCTCCCACCGCGCCGCGGCCTCCTCCTCGGCCTCCGTCCTGCTGTTCCCCTTCCCGAGCGCCACCATGGTCGGTTGATGAGGTCGGTCCGCCAGCAGCAGTGCCCCGCCTTGGCCTAATAGCTAGCTAGCTAGATCGGCGGCCTATCTCGCTCCCCGGTCGAGCTTCTTGATACTTGCAATCGATCGATCATGCGAGCTGCGGTCTATGCCCGCGAGCAAGAAGGCGAGAAGAATAACATGGCAGGAGCTGGCCGTGGTTGTCTTGTGTGGCATGCAAGAGGGAGGGCAGGGGCAGGGGCAAGGGATACGCACTTACGCAGCTCTTTTGAGGTTTGCTTCCGCTGGTCAGCTGGGTTGGCGTCTGGCGTGGCGTGGTCTGCGTGCCCTGCTTTTGGCGAGAAAGCATTGCCGCGCAAAGGGCAGGCCGGCAGCCATCATCCTGCTCCGTGTTCTGCTGGAGTCTGGACTCTGGTAAGTGGTAACCCACACCTCGCGTCCCCGCCTTGTCTCGCTCATCCTTTTCGTTTGGCTTGAACCTTTATTTGGATGCCTATATGCGTTGTCTTTTCCTTTAGCCTTTCTTGCAGCCACAACAGGGGTTGAAAGGCATTTATCCGACGCAGAGCACAAGCCACAAAGTGAATGGGGGACTTTGCTTTCTGCTCGAGAAAAAGTAGTACTCCAGTAAAGTCACACTACTACGTACATATCTCTGGACATTCTTAGGGAGAGAACCTTGCCGATACTGTATTTCTCTCCCAACAAAACAGGGCGAAACCACAAGGACGCATTAGGAGTCAGAGCTACATCAGTCGTGACAAAATGCCGGGAATCCTGCATCGTGCCCTACCTAAGGTCTTTACAAATTGGTTGAGGAGGAACTCGTTTAATTGGACCAAGACCAACTCTGCTCATGGGGTTGGTGTCCTGGTGTCATTGTCAGTCACCCGGCCAGAGAATTCATTCAGAGATCCATCCGATTGGAAGCTCCAGAACACCGTATCAGCGAAAGCTTGACGAATCTTCAGGTGCTAAAATATCCCGGACCGATTTTGATCATAATATGGCGACCAACAGTCCGGGCTATGCCATCCAGAACCCGAAGAAATATCCAGGTCCAGAATCCAGACGCCACGCCCGTTCCCGGATACATACACTGAACAAAACGTCAAGATCATGGTGGGCGGTGCGCAACTGCTACACGGATCGGATCGGGATCAGGCCGCCCAGCGGCAGGTCTCCGTCATGGCGTTGCCTCCATAGGCTACACAATCACGTAATCACGCTATCACGCCCTGGTTGTAATTCACAATCTTTGTAAGCATGTGATGCTGTACTTGTGCATTCAAGAGCGCAAGGATGAGGGGGCAACCTACCAGCGTCTTCGTATCAGAGCGAGGTTACTGTCATTTTACAAGGATTAATGCTGCGACTAGGACTCGGACCAGCGCATCATGCACTGTTGAGGAGCCAGAGCGAGCGAGCGAGCGAGCGACCAAAGCTCTCATCACGTAAAGGGACAGTGTCCTCAGGCAAATTACGAAATCAATGCGACTTGCGACGTCTGTCTAAGCTCACCAGCCTACGCAGTACCACTGGAGATGAAAGATTTGTACGTAAATGAGCTTCGATCGCTTGCTGCAGCTGCGAGAGGACAGAGGAGTTAAGCTTCGTCTGCTTCCGATTCCGACGCCCAGTCGCTGTCGTCCCGGTGCGTGCATGCTTGGAGATGGATGCACATGCACGTCCTGTTCAGTTCTGGATTCTGATCGAATTACTGATCGACGGCAATAAGCACGATGTGCGCAGCAATGGCTTTATGTATGGGCGCCAGGCGTGCGTACGACGACGATGCCTTGTGCGTGCAAGCCTTCGCTTCGCCTCCCTGAATCTCAGCTAGCTGTCCTCGCAGAGCAATGCTTGCATCGACAACCACCGGGTGGCCAGTAGAGTGCCACAGTCATGCGCTGTTGCAGTACACTCTGGCTATACTTCCCGTGGACGGTGGACGACAAGTGCAGCTGGCGGTCGGTTGCACTTGCACCGTACCGTTGCAGGTGGAATCGTGGAAACGAGCCGGACTGCCGGAGGCAGCGGTGCTCGCCGCGCCGGCGACGAACGGACCCGCTTTTCCCCCGATTTACGCTGAGGCCCACGGCCCAAAACAGCCGAGGTGGCCCGTGAATCGTGATGCATGGGATGGGCAGCTCTACGGGCCAACACCGTTCGGTTTGGCTGGCCTACGACTGCGAGCGCTGCGTGGTTGCAATCCGCCTGCAAGCGCAGAGTCTAAGCCGCGCGACCCATCTCTATCTCTATAATACTAAACCAGAGCCGAGTGGGCGAGTGGCTGATTGCCTAGCCATGCGGGGCGAGCACGGTTTGCTCCTGCTTGGTTGTCTTCCTAAGCCATGTCTCCACCTTTGTATCCAACCTTGTCTCCAGCGGGTTCCTAATGGAAACGAGGTTTCTGAACGTGTAAACTGGTTTGCATTGCTCGGTGACCAATCAGATGCATCAGCCCTCCACCGATGCATATGATAAAACGATGTGTGTGCTCTCAAATGGTTAATGTAATTGCAGTTTTGTGGAAAAACGTCTGGAATAGTATTAAGTCAAACTTCTCTACCTGTGGCCATGTTTCTATCACCTTCTCTGCAAGTTCAAATAAATACAGTGTTAAAATATATTTCATAAAGAATTCAATGGAATTAATTTGGTGTGATAATCACATAACACAAGTCATGGACTGATTCATAAGCTACATTGTGCACACAGAATTTGAGGGAACAGTCAGCACATAGTACAAAATAATAGCAAAGAGGTAATTAATTAACCATAAAGTGGATCATGGCTAAGAACAAGTACCATAATTGGCTTATAGCCAAGCAAATGCTGATGTGGAGGAAAGAAGAGACGAGAGAGAGAAGAATTTGGCTCTCGTTCAAGCAACAAGTTAGAGACAGAAACATATGCAGTGGTGGGCTCATACTTTAAATAATGAGAAGGATCATGAAAGAAAAGATGAAACACGAATAAAAAACAATAAAAAGGTTGCTCATAGATAAATAAGAGACTACTATTGTATAGTTTGCCTTTTATAACTTAGCTAGTAGATAAACACTTGAATTTATTATTAGACTTGCCCTCTAAGGTGCAGGTGCGGCAACATACTTTTATTGTGAGAGACAATTTAAGAGAACGTGGACAAAGGATAATGTATGCGTGAACAACTAATATTTACGCGCACAACTCACCAGACCAAGATGCAAAAATCTGTGGCTGTACAGGTTATATGAAGCATCACTAAAGTTAAGGGCATGAGAGAACTCCAGGTTCACCGGTAACAAGTGTATAGCAAAACTAAGAGGATCCTGCTCATGCACGTTTTGATTGAATCCGGTTTAACCATCAATGAAAAACGATTGAAACACAAACCTCAGAGCATGAAATCACCAAGAGGACCGACGTGTATAAAAAAAACATAAACACAACTATATGTTTTTTATTATTTATTGTTTAAAACACACAACTATACTTCAGACCTAACTCTATGATACTGCGTATTCGCATTGCACACTGTTTATCTAGAACCTATTCATAAAAATCATGAAGAGGACATGTTTATATAAATCCAGAAGCAGTAGGACTAAACTGTAAAGACCTTTACAAATTGAAACAGTACAAAGTCAAAACCCTGGAACTGGAAGAAGTGCATTATAAAAGCCTGCAAGTCCGAAGGACCTGTATGTAACATGTCCAAGGACCAGTCTGTAGGCACGCACGCAGGGACCGGCGCGCAAGCTCCAAGGATCTGTTTATAACATATCCAAGGACCAGGAGGATCTATCTGTAAGATGGCAGGGACCGGTGCGCAAAATCTCAAAAAAATTTGGACCATTTCTCGATTTGTGCGTGTCATCCTTGCGCAGGGGCCATGCTAATCTTCTCTGTATCGTTCCAATTTTATCGGATGTCTCCGAAGAGACGACGCTGCTGTTGCAGCTCGCGACTATAAGCTGGTGTTTCCTTTCGTGCGCTTCTGAGGTGGTGCTAAACAACGTTGGTTCTACTGCTCCAGATCCGCGCCGCGCCCTCTCGCATCGCATCCCAACGCAACGCACGGCCCCAAGCGGAGGCGTCCGTGGGCTGGTTTGATTCCATAGACCCGCTCACAAGTGCCACATGGGCCTATTTGTTATTCTGCCTTGCCTCGTGTTTGGGGTTTTGCTTTTTTTTTCTTTTGTAATAACCTTGTAATAGAAGTACGTACTACGTACGTATACAAGTTAGGGCAAGCATAATGCAGTATGTATGTGCTAAGTTGAGGTTAGTTTAAAATCCAGTGCGATAAGCTTTAGTTTATTTAGTTTCAGACTAAACTGCCCAAATTCAACAAAACTCCATCCAGTTGTACTCAAATGTAAGCTCCAATTTCAGAACATGTACATCCTGCTTCACGTCAAATACAAAATAACTCCAGATCCACACATTTCTAGAGCAAGCAATCAAAATGAGCTCAAACAAGTGGCACATTCGTCCTGAAATTGGAACCCCGACCCCCGAAGCACTTCCCTGCGAAGACTGCATGGACGGACTCGGCCACTGGGGAATCCAGCAGCCACAGAGCCAGGCAGTGGCCATGAACCGCACCTCGGTTGCCGCCCAGCTCTCACGCGGCACACGGCGTCGGGCAAACTCCATTAGCGGCGCCAGCGACAGCGCCGCGCCGGAAGTCGGTTCCAGAATCCATGACACGAGTCGAAGTCGGAACTGCAAGTCCACGCTACCCTGCATCGCACGGACCCGATTTCCGACCCCGGCCTAAAACACGAACCGGAGTCGGTTCGCGCTTGGCCTTCTCGGTCCTGTTCCCATACTATATAAGAGAAGAGAGGAGAGCCGAGGGGCACGCTCCGCACATTCACGAACTCTCGCTCGTTCATGAAACAAGTCGCGCACGAACTCGAAGCCATCTAGGAGGTTTCACCTTTCACGTGCGTGCTCAAGCGGGACCGAGCAAGAGGATCCGATCGATGGCGGAGAGGCAGGAGATCGTCTCCGGCGGCGTTGCAGCGGCGCCGATGTGCGCCAACAGCTGCGGGTTATTCGGGAGCGCGGCGACCAACAACTTCTGCTCCAAGTGCTACAAGGAGCACCTGATCAAGACCGCCGAAGCCGACGCCGCCGCTCTTGTCGACGAGAAGAAGACCGAGTCCACCACCAAGCAGGCTGCTGCTCACGAGCCCGATCAGCTGGCTGATGGTCATCAAGATCCTGACGCCACCGCTGCCGTTGCCGCTGCAGTGGCCACGGCCACGCCAGTTGCTCAAGCACCAACAGGGAAGAAGAAGAACAGTGGCCGCCCCTTGGAGACGCAGAAGCAGGAAGCGTCGTCCGGGTCCGGCCGCGGCGGCCTCATCGAGTGCGCGAACGCGTGCGGTTACTTCGGGTACGCGGACACCAACAACCTGTGCACCCTCTGCTACAGGGACTTCCTCAAAACCGTTCACTCCGCCCCTGCCCCGGCGCCATCGGCGGACAAGGTCGTCCTCGCTGCTGCCGAGCAGCCGGCGGCGGACCAGATCTCTGCTGCAACTTCCAGTTCCAGTGCTGCACCCGCGGTGGAGGCGCCGCCGGCGGTGAAGGCGGCCGCGCCCAACAGGTGCGTGTCGTGCCGCAAGAAGGTGGGGCTGCTGGGGTTCCCCTGCCGCTGTGGTGCCACGTTCTGCTCGCTGCACCGGCACGCGGAGAAGCACGCGTGCGACTTCGACTTCAAGACGGCGGGCCGGGAGAAGATCGCCAAGAACAACCCGCTCGTCGTGGCAGCCAAGATCAACAAGATCTGATGCAGAGCAACTATGCAGCAAGAGCGTGCAAGGCTCCCTCTAGCGGTAGCGATTAGGTCCATCGCCTTTTGTACGCGATTTTGGTTTAGGCGACCATCATGTATTTGGTTGCGTTGGAGCACTGTAGCAGTGAGAACCAGATCGTTATGTCACTGAAGTATAACATTCTTTTATGCTATCAAGCTGGCAAGTTTGAAACTTTGCAACGCTTGAATGATGAATGCTCTTTGTTCTGATGCTCCTGTTCTGTAGTTAATTTTTTGCTGTTAATGGATAGTGTTGCAGTCGTACGTAATTAGGTGATGTGCCACAGGATTCCTCCAATCTATAATACGGTGATTTGCAAGCCTCGCCTGGGCTAGCCTATTTGGTGGCGATTGAGATGAAATTCCCAAGTAATCCAACTGATATTATATATATTGCAAATACAAACAAATGGATGATCAAAAGATGTGTCATGATTCATGAAGAATTAATTCAGATGTTAATATATATATTTTTTTAAAAAGCTTGATGAAAACTAGAGAAGTTTTAGTTAGAAGTTAAGATAAAATTAAAAGTAGACTATAGCTTGGGTGTGTGTCTTTTAAGTTTGAAAAATGAAAAGAAAAATCTATTAAGGGTCATTTTCGCATAGCTTCGGCTTTGGTTTTTTTATGGCTCGCAGAGGAGCTAGAGCGGTTTTTGTACTGATGAATTTAGCAGGGATTTTGGAGTGGCTCTGGCTTTAGGCCAAGCCCTCCCAAATGTTCATCCAAGAGATGGCTCTAGTTATTACTTTAAGTTGTTCCATAGGCTCGTACCGCTGCATTCGTAAGCTGAAGCGTACTTTTTTTATCTCCACATATGAACCTTTTTATGGTTCTTTTTTACCTCCAACTTATCGTATGCTTCTGTGTTTCTTTCCACCAAACTTGATTCTTATGTATCACCTTTATACCTAAGTTTTGTACAACTGATTTGTCATGAATACTGCCGGTACTGATACATACATTGTGCTCCGCTACAGATGCTTACCATGGTGAAACAAATATGTATTTTTTGTACAATTTTTACCACTTGTTTACAAGTCCATGCATTTCTAAAGTTGTTTTCTGGCTGCTTACAATTTAAAACGGACAGAATATATTTTTTGTAAATAGCCAAGTTTGGATAGAAAACATGTTTGTGACAACTGAATCGAAAACAAAATCCTGCTAACTCTGATTTGGGCAATGAACGAAGACTCAGAATCAGCAACAAAAATACTTGGACATTATACCACGAAAACCAACTAGCACCGGTGGATTAACATGTTCCGAGGCACAAAGCATCACCAACTAGCACCGGTGGATTAACATGTTCCGAAGCACAAAGCATCATCAGGTACAGGATCCATGTAAACCATGCTACAATCCAATTCTCATGAATTCATTTACATCAAAATGAGCATGGCAACCGTGCAAACCAATATGTTCCAAAAACAGGCTGGAACCACTGAGACAGCTGCAAATTATGGCTCACGTCCCTCAACAGATAATCAGAGTCCCACTTACCAGCTAACAATATCAATCAATGAAGTGGATGACCCAAGAACATTAGCACCAGTAGAGAATGAAATCCACTATAACATGCTTGTCACATTGCTAAATTATATAACAAAAACATATCATACAGCAAGGCAACCTCCAGTAGTTAAGTACCGTCAGTTGCAACAATTATTTGTCATAGACTAAGCTAAAGCCTCTGGAGAAAGTCAAGTTGCTGATGAAAGCAAGAACAAGGTTGCCGGGTCAAGATATCAGGAATTCAAGACGGTGTAGAAGAAAACTAGATCCGCGCAATTCAGTGCCTAGGACCCACCATGTGAGCCCATACGAGGAGAGTGAGAGAACTGCAGGTTCAAACAGCGTGAGTGAGGGTCCTGTTCATCAAACCTATAGCCTGCAAAATGAAGTAATTTGTTCAAAGATGCAGTCAATCAAGCAATGACCCCATGCTACAAAACTGGCATATTTGAAAATATAAGACGTGACAAGTTTACACAAAAATAAAGTATGAAAGGGTACAAAAAGTCAGTGGATTATGCTATCGTAGAGATCTAAAGTAATTAATGAATTAGACAGATATTGGCATTGAAGTGGACAAAACGAACAGGTGTTGGCAAATCAAGTATGAGAAGCTGTTGCCAGCCACTGTACGCAAATGTCGTGACAGAGAAGGGTCGTATTCTCTTAGATTATTAGAATCTAACTTACTGATCCAGCTGCCACAGAATCATTTCTATACTTACCATTTTTTTCCTTTTCTGCTCCAAGCGTACATCAGAATTATCAGATATAACAACTGCTGTCTTATATCTTAAGCAAATGAGATAGGCTAACAAAAGTCAAGACTCAAGAAGTTTGAACCATTGCTCGGTCTTAAAGTAGAAATATTGCTTGGCGCCATTCATAATCACTACAGAGTAGGAAAATACCATCCAGCACCACATGTTTTAGTTTAAACAGTTTCATAATGTAATAAGATAGTTTTCTCCAAGTAAAGGACAAATGGCCCAGTAACATCACAAATGCAGCTAAAGATAGAAAACTGTATAAGAAAATAGTGTTATATTCACCTTGAAGACTTCTCATGGCGAGAAAAGCTTGTGCAGGGGTTACAAAATCAACGAAGCACAAATGTCTATTAGATCCTTTGTTGACCAGTCTCATTTCAAGGAACCCCATATATTGGCAAAATATATCTAAGCAAAAGTTAATGGGCCCAAAGACCTCAATGTTGAAGGATGGAACACAAAAAAGGACATATGGATTGACAACACCTGAATGTAAATTATAGTTGACCAGTGGAAAAAGAATGGTAAACAACTCAGACTCACACTAAGATCAGAAAGAGAAATCATCATCCACACAAGGATACGCGCAACTTCCCGTCTAGTACAGTTGGTAGGGAGACCTTCAACATAAATGGTGCTTGTTGCATCTGGAAGGGAGGGCACAGGTGCACCAGAATAAGGAAACTGTAATCATTCACCAAGGAGAAGTAAAAAACAGCACCTTAACATTTAGTAAGAGTTGTCACTCTGAATTAAGAAACAAAATAATCATTATGTACCCCATTGTGTTAGTTAGGCCCATAAGATTGTCCCATTGCAGCATTCATTATTGTTGTTTCCTGCTGATGGCCAGTCATATGCTGTTCATAAGTAAAAAAAATAGGGCGTACCCAGTGCAGAGAGCTCCCGCTCTGTGCAAGCCTTACCCTCGCTTGTGCAATGCGAGGAGACCGCGACTCGAACCCGGGACCTTCCGGTCACAGGCGGTAAGACTCTACTGCTTACACCAGGCCCGCCCATAAGTGTTGTCTGCAAAATGTAAGGGACACTAAATTAGTTTCGCGTACACACCACAAGGCATAGATTTATAGAAGTCATTCAGGGGTACATGAAGTATGATTTCCTCAACCTCAAGTTGTGTTTTACTTCCATTTAAGAAGCAAGCCCAAATAAAAGAAATCTAGGAACAGAAACAAACAAATGAAGCTATCACCTAATTGTCACTGATACACAATACAGCGATACAGGTACGGTATGGCAATATGCAATTCTAAAAATAACTGATACCCTACCACGGGAAATATATATATTTATATATAACTAAACTTTAAAAATTATGAAAATAATTGAACTTTCTGGGTACCAAGAAAGCAGTTAATCAGAGCAACATCATCTAAAACGATGAAATGCTCATGCTGAATGCATATCTGTCCTAAGATGAAAGGGAAAAAGGAAAGAAAAGATAGAACAAGGAAAATATGAGATGGGCTTCTATTTTCTGGGCAGTTGGCCCACTCAGCCCATATAAGGACCTCAAACTTAACCGTAAAATCTCCTCTCGTCTTGCACATAAGCCAGCCAGCCACTGCCGCTGCTCTGCTTTCTTCCCGTTGCAGTTCTCTTTTTCGCCAACGCAGCTTTGGCACCACAGGTCAACATTTCACAGCAATGACTAGCAAAATGGGTTGCCCATGCTCTACACATCTCTTCAAGTATGCTCAGACTTTGTGCTCTTCCCAGACCTAGCAGACCAGCCGCCTCCAGGCTCTCTCCATTTCTCCATCTCTTCATGCTACACCGGACGGAGGAGTATCAGACTGAGGTATCGTCGAGTATCGGAAGCCATATCGGCAATTAAATTCTTTATTTTTACATCGCAATGTTCTGATACCTCCCCATATGCTATCTGTACCGTGCCGTATTGGATACAGGTATGGTGGCGTACATGATGTAGCGGTGATACATAGCTATCACACCATCTGTCGAGAAAAGAACATCTGAACTTGGAACAGAACCATAAATCAATCTTCCAAACTTAACACTGAAGTGTACGGGTTTAAAAAGTCCCAAGAATTGGCAATCCCATCAGCACTAAGAGGAAAAAAGGAGAACCTTAATTGCATGTTTAATAGCTGCAGAAGAAGGGCACCCAACAAAGTGGGTGAGTGCAAAGCCTAAGCTGAATCTAACAGATCCACGTAAACATTTTTGGCTTTACTCGGTAGTGGCAGATTCTGAAATCACTACTGAGCAGGCTGTTAATATTTGCATGAAGTCCATTAAACGACAGGAGTGCAAACCCTAAGCCAAACAGACTATATCCACATGAACTCTATTGACTAGTTCTAAACTCAGGATTTATAATTACGATGATCATCGAAAAAGCATTCAAAAGTTCTTTACAACAAAACTGGAACCTAAAATCTGAAATTTGGACTAAAAATGCAGCTGTGCTACACTGACATGTATGTCCTAGTCGTTTTTCAAAAAATCTGAAAGATAGGTTCCCTAATCTCAATGCTTAAGAAGCTACAACACAGAGTAGCATGGAAATTTCATACTGGGAATTACTATTCCCAGGATTACTTCAAAGATTTAGCATGAAACATAGGCTTGAAGTTAACTACACATGTTTATGATATGACTTATGTTCTATTATTCTAGATTTATACAACAAATGTAAAAATCTAGTCTACACCAACTTGAATACATCTATGGTACAACATTTATTAAGTCATACCCGTGATACTGTTACCAGTTACCACTTAAATAAAACAGCAATCAGGCATAGCTAGAAGTTGATCACAAACCATATTGGTCAAGACGCTGACGCTTGCATGGAAGAGCAGCGAATTGCGGCTGTGCCATCACCACCTGGTTGCCCTGTGGATTGCGCTGCAGCATCACTGATGGAGGGCCGAGAGGCAGAGGCGGTTGCGCCATTATCAATGTATCAGCTTGTGAAGGCGGCTGCTGCTGCTGCATCAATGGCAGAGGGCCGAGTGGCAGAGGTGGTGGTGCCGTCATGTGTCCGGCTTGAGCTTGCTGCATCTCCATCATGGACGGATGGCACATGGGCAAGATTGCGATGGCGCCATACCTTGAGCAGGTTGGTTAGCAACCGTGGCCTGGGCTTGGGCTTGCTGGGGCATCGAGGCCATCATCATGCCCATGGGCGCAGCTTGAAGGAGCATCTGCATAAGTTGCTGGGAGGTAGGCACCATCGCAGGCGCGAAATGCTGCTGTTGCTGAGCCATCATGGTTGCCCCCTGCGGCGGCGCCATCATGGTTGCGCCCTGCGGCTGCGCCATCACCGGAGCACCTTGCTGTGGCGCGGGCCCGGGCTGCTCAGGCGCCACCCAAAACCCGGGAGGGCCTTGCGGGGACGCGGGAGCCGCCACGTTCTCGGCCGCCTGGGGCACCACCGCGAACCCGGGATTGCCCTGCGGGGACGACAGCGCAACCATGGTTGCGCCCTGCTTCGGCGCCGCCACCGCAAAAAACCCGAGAGCGCCTCTGTGCGACTGCGGCGCGGTCACCGCGGCTTGATGCTGGGTTGCGGGAACATCCGTCGTAGCGGCGGCGAGCCGCTGGGAGTTCGGGTCGGCCATCTCTCCTCAGGACCGGCGAGCGTCGCCTCTGATGGTGGATCTGCGCGCCGGAGACGGCTAGGGTTTAGCTGAACGGGGAATGCGGGTGGAAGGCGTCGGCCAGGGCAGGGGCGGATTCTTTTATTGGAATGCCGTTGCCAGTTTTGGCTGGCGCCCGCGGAGAGATCGCCGTGGAAGGAAAGGCAGCGGCGGTGTGAACGGGAGGGGAGTAGTGGCCAGCCGGCCGGCGTGATGCCGCGCGTGAGCGAGGGAGCGGGGAAACTGGCAGGTGAGTGGTGGAGGTTTTGCGTGCTGGGCTTTACTAGCTCTCCATGCCGCAGTCGCCTGTGCTCCTGGCAAACGATTAGCTGCTTCCTGGGCAGAAGCAAATGTTGATGCTGAATGTCGGTTCGGTTCAGCCCAGAGTGGAAGTGATCTTGGAAGAGTAACTCAAAAGAGACTCTCAATATCTTTTTTTAATTATTAGTAGAAATATAGATTTTGGTGATTAAAATATTCTTCAATAGCTTCTTTAATTGTTATCCAGATATAGTCATCTTTTATTTTAGATTTCTTGCTAGACAAATATAGAAAACAAGAATATCTCTCTATAGTGCACACAAGATATAGAAAAACGGTTAGAGAGTGGAAAAAATAGAAAGTGGTTTTTATTAGGATAGGGCATTCGGGTGACGCGAAAAATTCGGGTCGGGTAATTCAGGTAATTAAAAATTCGGGTATTAGAAATTGCTACCTGGTTTTGGTCACGAAAAATCATTATCCGAAATTTCGGACACCGGGTTTGAGTTCGGGTTAAATTGACAAAACCAACCATTTTGAAATAATTCTAGTAGAATTTTAAAGCAATAAACAACGGTCCTTCAAATCACATCATGTCTTCATATCAATTAACAACAAATGATTATCAAGTTAGCATAAATCTACATTAATTTATACCAAATAATAGATTTATATTGCACTGAACCACTTCATGTCTTCATATTAGGAATAGAAGAACAAATATTTGAGATATTTTGGGTAATTCGGGTAGTTCGGGTACCGGGGAACATTACTCAAACTAAATTCGGGTTTTTACAATTACTATCCAAAATTGTGATCAGGTACTTCGGGTCCGAGTTCATGTAATTCGGTTTCAGGGATCGGGTATTGGGTATATTTTATCCATTTCTAATTTTTATGCAACTTACTCTCCAAACGATGATTTAGAGAATGAGCTTTAGAAAGACTCTTGGAGATACTCTAACTTTTGGGGAAAAAAATTACGAAAAAGCTTTTGGAAATTACGAGAGACGAGCAATGCAGCAGCTACAGTATTTTTGACTGGGATGTGTCTTGGTGACAACAATTGGTTTCTGACCATCGTCTCAACTTGCTCCAATCGTACTAAATTGCCGCTACAAAATGTCTACTAGTCAGTCAGGTTAGAAAGGTGGCATCAACCCGTTATTGCTCTCGTCATTGGCCGCGACCGACCGCGACACACCTTCCGTTTGAAAATGTTACTATCACCTATCGGTGACGATCACCATCCATGAAGCTTTAGAACAACGCCGAAGCACGGAGCAAATGAAGCCTAGCCTACAAAAGCGAGTGGCTCCACCATCAACATCAGGTGACCGGCACGACGGGAGCTCGTGCCACGGCGGCCCGGTTAGGTGCGCGACCGCAGTTGGTGGCCGGTCCTGTACTGCACGGTCGTACCCTCTAGGCTCTAGCCACCCCGCGCGCGTCCTACCTGCACCGTTGCTTTGCACCAGGGCCCGGCCGGCCCCGTCTCACCGCTCTACACATGCTCTCGGATGCTCCCCGTCAGTTGCGCTCGTGCAGTTGTGCTGCAGTAAAAAAAAAAACGCACCAACGGGGTGTGCAGGAAGCGCAACGCGGGGCAGGGTAGAAGAGTCCACGGCGACACACGATCCGAGGCGTCCCGCTGCGACGTGCCGATCCCGATTCACGATTCCCCCGCCTCCTGCCCTACTCCTCCGGTCCCCCCTCGTCAATTTCGCCGAATCACCGCATGTGACCCTGGTACTTGACGGGAAAATGCCCCGTGCCCCCCAACCCGTTTTCCGGAGGCTGCAGCAGAAGCCCAGCGACCTGGGGGGGCTGCGGTGGCGGGGTGGTGTGGTGCCTGCCTTGTTGTACGTCACTACGACATTCTTTTCTTTTTCCTGGCCGTCTCCCAAACACCACGCCGACGCCTCGTCCCTCTGCCCCTTCAGCTCCACTACCAGTCTACCACTTCCCCTCGCGGCCTCGGCCCCTTTGCCTCGGCTACCCTTGTATATAGCCCGGAAGTCCGCTCTCCCGCAACCACTCTCCGTGACTCCGCCATCCGCCCCCTCCCCCTTGCTGGCTGCAATGGACGGGGTAATTGTAGTAGAGCTGTAGAGGCGGCGGGGGTGTGAGTGCGACGCTGGGAGGAGGCGGTGGCGGCGGGTTGGGATGGGGCTGCTGTCGAACCGGGTGGAGCGGTCGGAGATCAGGCCCGGCGACCACATCTACACCTGGCGGGCCGTCTACGCCTACTCCCACCACGGTAGGCTCCTCAATCCCCTCCGACGATGACAAGGGTTCCTGTCCTCACGAGTTCTAGTAGCGAGCGAATTGCCGCCGCCGATGGCGCGGATCACGAATTCTCGAAGTGTGCAAGTTAGCTGTTCACCGGAATTCTGGCCCGCGCCGGCTCAGTTGGGCTTTCTTTTCGCAGCCGCTAGACGCTGGTATTGGTTCTGTTTTTGCTCTGTCGGCGAGAGGATTAATCGTGGTGATTCGTGTGTGCGTGAAATGTGAACGCCTCTGTGCGTCGCCTCAATTGGCTAATCTGTGAGGTTTTCCTCCTGTTCTGTTGTCCTTGTATATTTGCAGAATTTCCCTGCAAAAGCCATGCCAATTCTTATGCCCTTCCCTATTTACTCTCGAGATTTGGTGGCAGTGGATGACTGTAAGTCTGTAACCGACAAATAATAAGTTCGGGGGGGGGGGACACACGATGCCATGTTTCTACTCCATCTCGCTCATCTCACCACGCCTGCTTATGGAGATGAGGCTTCAACTGAAGATACCGTACTCTGTACATAAACCCTTCCAGATGGCTAGGATGCCACATGCTTGTGTCCTACTGTTCTGCTTTCCATGTTGAACAAATGGCACTTGTTGCTGCTCACCTACTGCTAACCAACGTGTCTGTCTGTTTCTGTGCTTTGTTTTTTTTCTAGTGTGGAGCAGCCTTATTGTTAACTCGAGGTTGCTTCCAGGAAAGAAACACTACAGGCTATAAGGTTGACCCATGCTTTACTGTTCCTGATAAGTGAGTAGTTTAGGGCTAGTTGCTGTAAACTCTGGTCACCAAAGTATCCTATGTTAACTAAGTTGTTGAACTATTCAGTCACTTTTACTAGTTGAGGTAACTAACTTTTTGTATTTATTATTTATACCACAGTTCTTTTATTTTGCATCTCTCTTTGATCTTCATTTAGGAGACGACCCTTCTACAGTGTCACAATTGTGCTATAGGGACAGTGTGTCTCCACAATCAGTGCCTACTGTTGGCAGATACCCTGTTCTGCTCCATAAAGTTAAAGTGGCTCTTTATGGTAATTTAGTAAGGCACATATCTTGGGAGGACAAGATCTGGGCTCTGCACTACCTGTATGAAAAGCTGCTCAATTTGTTGAAAAAAAAACTATTTTGCTTCGTCTCCTGCATCATACATCCTCTCTGGCTCTGGATTAATTTGTCAAGTAATAGCATTTTTACATGTTCCAGCAAATTATCCCTTATTAAGAGAACTTCAGCATGTTATTCACAACCGGGCAATAAGTAAAGCAATGATATATCGTTAACTGCCGTTTTGAAACTTCGTTCCATTGCTTCTCAAGCAATTTTCTTGTGTATGTTCAGGTATTTATGTTGGAGGAAGCAAAGTAGTCCATTTTACACGAAAGAAAGAAACTGAAAGTTCAGATTCATCAGACTCCACCTCCAGCCTGATCTCAGAGGTTCCATCGGAGTGCCCAACATTCCCTGATTGTGGATTTCAGCTGCCCAACAGTGGTGTTGTCCTCACTTGCTTGGACTGTTTCCTTCGCAATGGCTCTCCCTATTGCTTCGAGTATGGAGTGCCATCTGCGGTTTTCCTTGCAAAGCTTCGTGGGGGGACCTGCACCATTGCCGAATCAGACCCACCAGAGGTTGTTGTCCATCGAGCGATGTACTTGCTTCAAAATGGTTTTGGAAATTACGACATGTTCGAGAAGAACTGCGAAGACTTTGCACTCTACTGCAAGACTGGGCTTCTACCAGTTGAGGAACCTGGCATTGGGACTAGTGGGCAAGCTTCTTCTGCCATTGGTGTGCCGTTGGCAGCTCTTCTGTCCACTCCGTTTAAGCTTCTGGCTGCTGGTCCGCTTGGAATGGCCACTGTCACAGCTGGGATGTACTGTGCTGGCAGATACATTACTGACATAGGAGTAAGGAAGGACGTAGCAAAAGTTGAAGTGGAGAAATTGTCGTTGCACCCTGGTTTCCACCTTATTGAAGACGAAGAATCAGTTAACAAGCCATCAGAAAAACCGAAGACCTTGCTCCCTATGAAGAGGAAACGAGAAAGGTGACTGAAACGCAGCTTTGGAGGATGAACTTCTCTGCCCTTCAATTGGTGCCGAATTGTGGATAATTTGGGATATAGTATATGCTCCACTGTAATAAGACTGGATGGTATAGATATGTGCCTTCAGAATGTGCCCTAATTGGATTAGGCGCACACCTCACATGGTCAATTGTAACTGCCTTATAAATTGAATCATCAAATCACTATATCATGTAGATTTTCTTCTATGTTTGTTTCAGTCTACTGCTACAATTAACAACAGTTATATTCTTTACTGATCTGGGAGATCATCGTATCTATTGTTACTCGGTACGGCAAACTGCCGACAATGTTTTCATCAGGCATACTGTACGAGTAGATCTCTCGTCCTTACGACCTTGCCTCATGATTGTTGAATGACTACTTTGTTCAGATTCTACTAGCATATATGTAGTCACGGCCGAAACTTCAGCAACTTTTTCATCAGGGCGAAGATGCTTGTTGTTTCCTTTGGAAATTATTGTACCTCCATCTCCATGGCTGCATCCGTAGGCTTCCTTACTACTGTACATGCATGCCTTTCTCTTTATGCTCTGCCTCTAATCATTGATCTGGTAGGCCTCGACAACACCTACCCCTGCTTTTCCGTTGTTTTTTCACTGATCTGGATCAAAAGGCTGTACAAGCTATGTACTGAGATCTCGGCGTGGATTTGAGCTAAAGAAAAGCCGGTGCCTGCCTGGACGGCTGGACAAAGATGCTCAGAAAAATACCATCTGCAACTGCGGTGTGCTTCGTTGTCAATTTGATCTGTTTGACTTGCGCTTTTCATTTGTACTGGTGTGTAAGTACGTATGCTTCTCGGCACGTGAGTGCTTTTTTTAACGAACTAGCACTGGTATAGAGGAAAATACAAGTATAGTCTTGGGAAACCTACAGAAAAGAGGGCAACAACAATACCAACCAAAAAAAAACTGTCAGCGACCGGCCAACAAAGCACGTGACCGTTGCTATGCATTTTGGGCCCGTTCGCTTCGCTGAAAAAACAAGCCGAAACATTGTTCCGGCTGATTTGTTGTGAGAGAAAAACATTGTTCCGGCTGAAAAAATAAGCTAAAAAATACGGATCATAAGAAAAGCGAACAGGGCCTTTATATGGTTGAACATGTGATTAGCAATACCTAGAAGATATGCACTTCTTCTTCTTTTACCGTTCCTTCCTCCTTGTGTATTTCAGTGGTATAATTCTTCTTTTACCGTTCCTTCCTCCTTGTATATTTCCGTGGTATTATTCAGATCGTTGAAAGTCACTATTACAAGCTAACGTTAGAAAACAATAAAGAAAAATGAAGCGGATTAGAAGTACAATTTCTCCTACGTACTGACTACTGAGCCAAACTTCGCTGTCCATTTTATCCTCAAAATTTTCAGCTCAAAAATTGTATGGACGAGCAAACGGTGATAGAAGTGAATGGTATCTTCGCTTCACTTATTCAGTTTTTCTCAAAGCCCAAATGAAAAACTGTACCCTACTGGCTATGCCGGCCCGCCATTAGCACATCAACAACCGGCCTTCCCGTCTGCGCTGCTCGAATCGGGCCAAATGCTTTGGTCAATCCCAGCAAAGTGGCATATGCCTGAACGCCCAGGAGTATCTACCTTCTTATTTTTCTTACAGAAGCTTTTGAGTTGCTTTGACACTTTAGGTAATTATAGGTATTTATAGGTAGGGACCGAAGAATTTCTCTTTTTTGCATTCTTCTTACTTATTCGCAAATTGAAGTATTATAATTTTTGACAATATTTACATATTTACCATCATTACGAGGTGAATGGTATATAAAATAACATGTCAGTGACTCATGTGTCAGTGATATAATATAAGATGCTATCCATAATAATGGTAAATATGCAAATGCCTGATAACTTCAATTATTGTAAGAGACTGGCATCATGCGCCATTTTGCAGCTCGTGTTCTACCCTATGCACCGAAAGCCAGCAAAAGAGATAGTTCAGCCGTGCAAGAAAGGAAGAGAGGATAAGGACAAAAATGAAGAATGAGAATGACATGCCGGCAATTAGGGTCTACTCCAGGTCGTTATGGGATATGTACAGGTCAAATTTTTTTAACTTTGATTAGGTTTGTAGAAAATACGTGCAATATTTATATCTATACAAATAAGTTTATTATGAAAGTATACTCAACAATCTATCTAATGATATTAATTATGTATTATAAATATTAATATTCTTTTATATATAATTAGTCAAAGTTAAAAAAAGTTGATTTCTCGATAAGCGAGAACGACTTCTATTTTGGGACAGACGGAGTATTCGGATCATAGTTATTTAGACCGGACCGGACCGGCGGTCTGACTGGTAAAAGACCGAACCAGAACCTCGGCCGGTCCGGTCCACCTTAAACGACCAGTAAGCAATCGAACCGGTATAAAACCGGTGAACCGGTTGTTTTCCCCTAGAAACCGGTATAAAACCGGACACTGGACCGTGAAAAACTTGGCGGCCAGCAGCTATGTGTTAGAGAGCAAGTTCTCCACCACTAAGCCACGACTTCGGTTGTGTTTTTGTATCATTCTTCATTCTATTTGAACCGTATTAAGCCGGCGGTTCAACCGGTTGGACCAATCAAACCGTGAACGGCCTTAAGCGGTTCGATGTCCGGTCCGTTCCTAATAACTATGATTCGGATGGTGATCTGAAAAGCCTGTCTAGGTTTGAACGCCTAGCTTCAATCTAAACATGCCTCAAGCTTCAACATTTTTTTCCCTGAATCTGTCCATTATGTAAACTATAATTCCATTTTCTTACGGAAACGCGATAATCAAAATGTATCAGCTGCAAGCCAAATCTACCTCTAAAACAAACATTCTAGCGTTATAGCGCCGATCATTTTTTCAGAATTCAAAGTTCATTAGCGCTAATGACAAAAGACACATAACTTTTGTGCTTTGCCTTCATATATCGTTCAGATATTGAATCCTAGAGGAGTTCGATTATTTTTTTTTTGACGAGAACGGAGCTCGATTATCGTAGATTCGTAGGAGACTGGCATGTTGCGTTGTTGCAGCTCTGTTCAGGAAACATCCGGCCAGAGAGGTATTTCTAGTATGCAAAACAAAGAAAAAAGAATTAAGTGCACAAGCGGCTTATGAACTTTTTAAGGTAGCAACTAGCCGCCCTGTTCGTTTGGGCTGGTTTAGTTTATGGCTGCGTTCGCTGGTCTGAAACTTAGCTGGTTTTGTGAGAGAGAAACACTGTAGCGGCTGGTTGATGAACAATGTTTTATGAGGAGCAGCCGGCTGGTCTAGAACTTCCAGACCAACGAACGCAGCTTATAAGCCATAACTGAAAGTACTGTTGACTGATTTGGTGTGAGAGAAAAATATTGTTCATTGACCAATAAGCCATGACTTATAAGTCAAATACGACCAAGCGAACAGGCTGTAGATCTACAAATTTTGAAAATGCATTTCCAGTACACTAGATTCGTTAAATGATGCGATCCAAGTCCATAATGGTTTGAAATGGCAACGTGTCTATACACGCCACGTCAGATAAAAAACCCTCCCGAACCAGTAAGATGTATATCGTTTGACAAGTTTAGTGTGTCAGAAATACATTTTCAAAGTGTATGGATCTATGTGGCACCATTTGACAAGTTAGGGACCGCTCAGATTCGTAATGGTTTGAAAAGTCAACTTGCCCGTACAGCGTACACGCCATGTCAGATAAAAAACCCTCCTGATCCAACAAGATGTAAATCATTTGACAAGTTTAGCGTGCCAGAAATACATTTTCAAAGTGTGTGAATCTATATAGCAACATTTAACAGTTATGGACCACTCATACCTTTTACTTAAAGGAAAAAATATGCATCAACAAGAAAGCCACGCTGCACTCTCACCTCCATAAACAAGCATGACTGACTTGGCTTCTAGTTCGGGCTCTAGAATTCCACTATTTTTCGAAATCTTCTCTCCAAAGTCTGAACACAACAATTAACCTTTTTTTATATAACCGATGACTTGTTTAGACAAATACAATAATTCAAGTGGGTTGTAGAAATTTGAAGTGAGCCTACTAGAACCGGTTGAATGGGAGTTCTTGTCATGCACTAAACCAGCTTTTGTCTCCAATTTGGGTGCCTATTTTATTTTTATTTTAAAAGTTTGCTAGTTTCCTCATTTTTTATAAGATACACACAACTTCTGTGCTCTCTGTGTTTGTGACATGTTAATGCACTTTTTATGGTAGTTATCTGAGTGATGGTAAAGAAAAATGTGTGCTTATCATTAGAAGAACAATGTGCATTATCACGCGCCCGATTCCTACCCAATTTTGTAGCGTCGTCAATCAAATAGTTTGTTTTTCTTATTTTTCATACTCATTGTGAGCAACATCGCAAATTTGAATTCATTTTCGTATACAAGAAAAGAAATTATATATATGAAGCTAAAAATGGGTTAGGCTAGGCCATGTTTGGATGCAAAGTACTTTTAGAGTTCTACAAAAATACCATGGGTTTTTTGTTTAATACTTCGGTTCTAGGTAACATGAAGTGTTTGGATGCAACAAACTTATAGTTTTGAATACCATGATATTGCTAAACCTATAGCCTTTTTAGAGTTTAATTAAAACCTATAGTCTTTTTAGAGTTTAATTAAAAGCTCCATCCTACACCTTTTCTTTTTTCAAAATCGTGCTTTTATACATTAATGGATTTTAAACCTCCAGTTTTTTAATCCTATGGTTTCTTAATACTCCAGCATCATTTAGCCTTTTGGCAAAATTGTTTCTGACTGCACCCCACTACGCCGCCGGATTCTTGCTTATCCCCCCGCATCATTTGGGATGAGGCGAGACGAGACGAGACGACGATGCCGATGGGCACGCGAGTTGAGGACTTGAGGTGACAGGGGCAACGAGGAGCCTGCCGAACCGGCCGGGGAAGGATTCGCCGCGACCGCGAGAGCGACGCGCCCGCCCGGCGCCCGACCCGACCCTTCGGTCACCGGCCGCGGGCGAATGTCACGGACGCCAAGGCGTGGCTGCCGCCGTCGGGTTCGCTTCGTTTCGAACGAAAACACACAGACCCTGTTGAATTGAAAGAAAAAAAAAAGAATCGAACGCGACCCACAGGGTAGAGCACAGCACACGCACAGCGCACCGCAACGCTAGCCAGGCCCAAGCATAGGCGCATAGCATAGGGCATAACGCGCGGCGGCCACTAGGCACTAGTCCGCCTGTCACGTTGCGCTGGCCTCTTTCGCCACGGCACGGCACGGCACGCGCGCCAACGGCACCGGACCGGTATATATCCCCCGCCCCGCGCTGGGGGCCGGGCCCCCCAGCCCCCAGCTAGCGAGCGCCGCCGGTGCCAGCCAGTGCAACAGAACCCGCACCACACGGGCGCGCGCGGCGCAGAGACGACAGATCGGTCGGCGTCGGCCCATGGCCATCGGCGGGTCGGAGGCCGGCGGGGGAGCAGGCGCGGCGGGGAGCAGGAGGAGCGTGCTGGTGACGGGCGGCGCCGGGTTCATCGGCACGCACACGGTGCTGCGCCTGCTGGAGCAGGGCTACGGCGTCACCGTCGTCGACAACTTCCACAACTCCGTCCCCGAGGCGCTCGGCCGCGTCCGCCTCATCGCCGGCCCCGCGCTCTCCGCCCGCCTCGACTTCATCCGCGTACGTGTACCGAAACCGCGCCGCCGGCTGTTGTTTCGCATGTGCCCAGCGCCTCGCTGCTGATTGAATTGCTCTCTCGATCGCTCACTGTGCTGCACGCCCGTCGGCCGTCGCGTGGATTTCAGGGGGACCTGAGGAGCACCGAGGACTTGGAGAAGGTGTTCGCTGCCAGGAGGTACGGTGCTAGATCGATCCATCCATGAAACTCCATGCGCTTTCGGAATCGATCCTCTCTCCTCTGAAGCCCTTTCAGAGCTTCGATTTCTACCTCTACAACAAAGTGAGTCCCACACCACACATGCGGCGCGCTGCTGTCCTCCATTTCCAGGTACGACGCCGTCATCCACTTCGCCGGGCTGAAGGCCGTGGGGGAGAGCGTCGCGCATCCGGAGATGTACTACGAGAACAACCTCGTCGGCACCATCAACCTCTACAAGGCCATGAAAGAGCACGGCTGCAAGAAGGTACTACTGCTGGATCGCCTCCGATCCTGCCTTTGCATCACCACGCGCGCGGTGGCCACCACGATCTGACTGAGCCCGCGAGCGCGCGTGTGCATGCAGTTGGTGTTCTCGTCGTCCGCCACCGTGTACGGCTGGCCGGAGGTGATCCCATGCGTCGAGGACTCCAAGATGCAGGCCGCCAACCCCTACGGCAGGACCAAGGTAGTAAAATCTCCGTGACGGAACTGCCAATAATCGCGTCGCGTGTTGTGGTTCACGGTCGCTGACGAGGACGTGTAACGGCCCTGGCGCTTTTCTCGTGTCCTCACGTCATTTCGGTTGCTTCCGCTTCCGCAGCTTATCCTGGAGGATATGGCGCGTGACTACCACCGCGCGGACCCGGAGTGGAGCATCGTCCTGCTGCGCTACTTCAACCCCATCGGCGCGCACAGCTCCGGCGAGATCGGCGAGGATCCCAAGGGGATACCCAACAACCTGCTGCCCTACATCCAGCAGGTCGCCGTCGGCAGGCTCCCCGAGCTCAACGTCTACGGCCACGATTACCCCACCCGCGACGGCACCGCGGTGCGTGCACTGCGCCCTCACTGTGTTTAATCTGCCTACAAAATCGCCACAGATACTGACATTGACAGTTTGTCGCGGCAGCATTTGGTTGGGCATTGAAATGTTCGCTCGTATCTTGATCTATTTTGATTGATTGATTGGTGTTGCAGATCAGGGATTACATACATGTCGTCGACCTGGCCGACGGGCACATCGCAGCGCTCAACAAGCTCTTCGATGCTCCTGATATCGGTACGACGCTGTGAACTAGTAGTATTTTGGGCACCACATGTTCACAAATCACATCCAGTTGTACTTGACCATGCTACCGTACCTCGTGTCCCTGGGCAGGTTGTGTGGCCTACAATCTGGGCACAGGGCGCGGCACGTCCGTTCTGGAGATGGTGGCGGCGTTCAAGAAGGCCTCCGGCAAGGTTCTATCCGTGCATGGGTCGTGCCTCTATGATCTGATCTGGAGAAAGGGACCTGAAACTGACGTCTCTGGCTGCAAAACTGCAGGAGATTCCCACCAAGTTGTGCCCCAGGAGACCGGGTGACGCGACGGAGGTTTACGCGTCCACTGAGAAGGCTGAAAGGGAGCTTGGATGGAGGTAATGACTGCGATTCTGTGAACAGTTACACTTTTTATCTGCATCATATAAAGCTCATCACTTGATATCAGTACAAACTGATACCTGGGCCTTGTTTAGATACCCTCAAAATTCCAAGTTTTTTCACTCTCTCCATCACATCAATTTTTAGCTGTTTACATGGAGCATTAAATGTAGGTAAAAAAAAAACTAATTACACAGTTTAGTTGGAAATCATGAGATGAATCTTTTGAGCTTAGTTGATCCACGATTGGACAATATTTATCAAATAAGACGAAAGTGCTATTATTCATCGGTTTGAAATTTTTTTCAATCTAAACAAGCCCTGTGGTATTTCTGCGGCAGAGCCCAGTATGGAATCGAGGAGATGTGCAGGGACCAGTGGAACTGGGCCAAGAAGAACCCGTATGGCTACTGCGGCAGTGCTGAAAAATAGAGTGGGTTCATCAGAACTCCGGAATGAATTGTCCATAGTAGTTCTCTTGAACCTATCAGTGGAACATGTAATAAGTACAGAGACCACCTAAATGTGCCTACAAAGTTTCATACGATCTCCCCGCTTAGGCTTTATTTGGATGTCGTCGGATTCATCTCAATGTAATGTGTTGGGGTGGAACAAGTTCACGTGGATTGATACCAATCCGATTATATCAAATAAGGTCTTAATTGTGATGATGATGATGTTAGTGGCTGCTACCGGGTGACTTCAGATGGTTGGAACGTGCAAAGACTGGGTTGGGTGTGTTAAGCTGCGCTCTGACTCGTATCGTGTCCCCACCCTCTCGTACTTCCGTTTGCTCATTCCCACGTCTGAGAGTTGACTGCTTTAGGACAAAAGACAGCACGATAACGAATTAACGAGGATATATGCAAAGCAATGTGTGGTGTCAAGTGCGTCTATGGGTGTCTGTTTTATATAAGCTTCTACACGAAAACCAATTTAAATTGGTTCCGGAAATTTAGAGAATTTAAAAAAATAATATGATAATAAAATGAGAAGCATTTTTACATATTGGTTTCAGTTTATGATCTAAATAGACCATGATTGTTCTCAGATAAACACGTTACTTTTGAAACTTAGCTTCTCAAAAACAATCTTTTCATGCAAAAGCTATAGTAACAGCGCAAATAAACAAGGCCACGTCGTCAAAGATAGACAATCGGACACAGCGCAAATAAGTATCTGCTTGTTCCTACTTATGCCTTTACCCATCAAAGATAGACAATCGTTCGCTACCTATGTCTAGCCTCAGGTGATCATTTTGCATGTATTTCAATGGTGATACCTCTTTTACTATTACTTGTACCATTCCTGGTGGAGAAACAACACTTGAACATGAACGAATTTGTTGTGCTATAGCCTATGACACTATCAAAAAACAAGAAAACATCAGCCAGTAAGGTGGACGAAGTTCGCCATGATGATAGAGTTCGATGCGTCAAGCCACAAGGAAGGGGATGATACCGCAATGCAGAAGGATAATGTGTGTTAGCTTTTTTACAATTTTTTTTCCAGATTGCCAAGAGCATGAACATTTAGACCTTGTGCTACTTCATTAATTATTTCCTGCAGCACTTCTATTATCTAGGTAAAGCCCGAATATTGTACTTTATATTTAAGTTCAAGATATTGTCATGTTCCATACACCTTATTTCCAACCCTTTTACTCTATAATACTTTGTGCTAAAATACGTGATTTAGACGTTGTTAGTGCATACTGCCTTTATGCTTGTATTCACTGCAACATGTTCAACATATGTTCTAGATCAATATATGGTTTTTAATATAATTAATTATTACAATAATAAGCTCATTCCTCGAGATAATTTATTGCTATTTTCTATGTACGAATTTGTTTCTTAGATATGTGTGTGTCCCTTGTGCATTGTTATGTCTCAAAAAATTATTGTAGTTTCTTCCTTATAGATGATTTTATTTGGATAGACACATGCGTGTCACATGCACTTAATACACAGAACAATATCCCTCAATACACAATTTCATTCTATTGTTTCATAGCATGACCATGACATTTACATGCCTCATCTAGAGTTGGAAACTATACCAAGTGAATTTCATCTATATAGAACTCATCTTTTATCCCACTTATTAAAAAGCATTGTCGTGCCACAAAAATGTCTAAGTGAAACTCCGACTAATAAGGATATAATAAAAATAGTTTAAATCTAAATAGGACCGGTGTGTCATGTACTTTCATGTAAAGACACAATTAATGAATGAACTTTTTTCACTAAGTTTTTATTCCTAAAATTATACTAAGAACTCTTCTTGGTTTATTTACCAAGGTATATGAAACGCCAACTACTCCTACATTTAAGTTATAGTTTTTCGTGGATTCTAAATACAACTTCTTCGCCTGCTCTTGATATTTTTTTTTTCGAAATACCAACCTCCATTTCAAATACCAACTTTTATTTTTGTTGTTCACATTTTAACTAGAAATATTTATTTAAATATTTAGTTTAAGTAAACTGAGGATTGTATCACTAGATTGGCTATCAAAAGTATTTTAGTCATGTCATATATTTTTTGCATGTTTGCACGGATATTTACAAATATGAATGGCCAAAAATAAACTAAGCGAAAATCGCTAAGTATTGTGAAATGGAGGTTAGTCGTCTATTCTAAAATAAATCAACTTTTAGAGTTGTTTAAACAAAACGATTTTAGGTTTGATAAAGTTTAGAGACAATAGCAGGAAATATTTATGACGTCAAATTAGTAGATATGTCATGGATTATATTTCATTAGTGTACCTTTTTTGTTATAACTTTTATAAAATTAGCCAAACTTAAGATAGTTGGTACAACTCAAGGACTTGTTTGAATTAGTTAGGGTAGTCACTAGCTTATGATAAAATTAGCCCAAATTAGACAGGGGTTGACTAACTAGTTTTTTAAGAGCCAACAGCAAGATCACGTTGATCATATATTAATAGAGAGAAGCGTTTTACAATGATAAAGGCAAAACAAAAACAACGCACTCTCACGAAGGAGACAATAGCAAAACTACCACCGCAAAGAAACGCAAAACCACATATCCTCGGAAGCATCGGCCTTAAACACCACTTTGTATGCAACAAAGAACAAGTAATGCAAATTAGGAGGAGTAGGTTTTCCACATCGATGCCTCCAAAGAGGGAAACGATGCCCACAAATGTCGTCAACGCTGGCTGGAGAACTAACGTTTTCAACCAAACTCTTAAAGGATAAGGGGTCTCACAACAATGCCTCCAACGTGGGGCTTGCCACCAAAGGCGTCACTATTGGCGACCAAAGCTAATGGCCTAGTAGGGCCTTCATCCGACAACCCCAGCACCCAAGCCCAAACCATCAACATCGTAGATGACCATAGCAATCGCCACCAGTAGGAGACGACTGCGGCCACGACGAGGTCACAGGCATGTGTGACCTGCCGCCACCACGCCAGCCCACAGGGGCTCCTCCATCCTGCATGGCATCAACCATCATGGGAAGCCACATCTTGTTCCTGCACCATGCAAAGAGTGCCGCCAACGCCGTTGCACATCGCTGCCCCTCAAGCTTCTAGAGAAACCACCAAGCATCCCCGCACAAGCCATCATCTACAACGAGGTGCCATCTATGGTTTGTCGCAGCGGTGGTGTCGGTGTTTTGTAAACCGGACTAGTAAACTTATACGATTATCGCGCTGCTCTAGGAAGATGATGGTAGCATCCAATACACACGAGAATTTATACTGGTTCAGGCCAGAGCCCTACGTCCAGTCTGAGAGATGATCGAGTGCGTGTTCCTCGCTTGAATGCTCTAAAGTTCTTACAATAGGGGGGGTGCAAGAATAGTGGAATAGGTGGAAGGACCTAAGCTAGGAGTAGGGCTACTCGAAGAGAAGCTCCAGGAGCCCTACTATAATGGTGAATGAATAGAAAGGTAGAGGATGTGAACCGTCCCCGAGATGGGAGCCCTGGCTGCCCTTATATAGAGTTTAAGGCCAGGGCTTATACAAAGAGGAGGTTCTCTCGACCGAAGGGTTGAGAGCCTGAGGGAGGGCCTAGCTAACTTGGCTTGCAAGCTATGCCGACTTCTGGTGCACGTTCGGTCGTGGCTATCATCATGGCCTTCTGGCCACGTTGCGGTAGGATGTGATGTGGTGCTACCATGCCGGCCATGGTGGCACTGTAGCCTTGGTGGCGGTTCGTCAACTATCCTGTGTAATGCGGTGTCTGTCGTGGCCTTCGTCATCGTCTCCTGGTTCCTAGGGGCGTCGTACCCAAAGTAGGTAGCGGCCCTAGGTCGCTTTACGGGGCCGAGGTCCATGACCCCGATCGTTGGGGTCGGGTCACTCTGCCTGTCTGGATGGCATTTTTTGAGCCCCTTGTTGTGGATCCCCATCCCGTAGTGGGTGGGATCGTACAAGCGTCTAGTCGGTCCATATTTGGACGGTGGGTGTCGTATCCATTGCCACCATGGTGCGGTGTTGTCTTGTCGGTGCGGCTTGGCATAGGGATGGCGTCTGACCGGGCCGAGGTGACTGCTGTCCCCTCGGTCCTTGCGGGGTCATTGTGGCGTGCTTGCTCTTGTTAGAGCATGCGCGCTTAGCTGTGCTTGACCTCCCCAACCCTTCCAGGGGTCGTGATGGGGAAAGGTCATGCGTCTTGCGAGTGTCGTATGCTAAGGCGAGTAGAAGGGGTCGGGGATGACCCTGGCCTTGGTGCCTGGCCTGCTCCGCTCGACTTTCACTAGGCCTTGGTCATTTGGGCCTTTGTTAGCCGCTGTGTTGCGGGCCACGCAGCCTGCTAACTAATCGGTGCCTTGAGACACCCCGGGGTTGCAAACCCGACAGTAGCCCCCGAGCATTTTTATGATCATGAAGTGATCGTGAAAGCGCTGGTACGCCCGTGCGTTAGAGCGTGGGCTCATGGTCATGACTTTTCTGAGCTTCGCAGCTCGACCTCTTACGGGCTTGGTGTATTCAAGGTGGTAGGCGGACGTTGCACCCCGTCCCGTCCCGTCCTGTCCCGTCCCATTGAAGTGGTACGTGATTGCTGAGCCTTGTTGTGTCAGCGTGCCGCTCATCGGGGTTTGTAACCCAGGTGGGGTCATGTGGTCTCATCGACACTGCGTCGGTCCTGCCTTTGGGAAGGCTTTGATTTTCCTGACCTTGTGCGAGCATCTAGTGTTGGTTGCGGCTTTCGCGGTTCTCTCTTGGGCCTATAAATATTGGCCCTTCGTTTGGGCTATCCACGATTGTGTTTGAAAACATGTTCTGCTGGTCCTCTTGAGATGCTTGTTCTCAAGAGCGAAGGGAGAGAAATGTTGTGAGTTTTTATCAAAGGTTTCTTGTGATGGCCGGGCGCCGACGTCTGTCTATCTATCGTTCGGTGCTATGAGGGATCTTGCAATCTTGGTAGGACTAGGTCCTTGTGAGATGGCAGC